CTCTGGCTGGGGAGTGATCTGTGGGCTGCATGACTGCTCCCCCCATGGGGATACTTCTCCAGTCTGCATCTATGTGGTTGCGCCCATCACGTTCGGCTATTCTGCCATTTCCATTCAGCTCCTGTTCAGAGGCTCGTTTTGGCTGTTGTAATCCCCCTCCTGTTGAAATCCTGTGGCATGTCACCTTCTAACAAAGCACCCTCTGGCTGGGGAGTGATCTGTGGGCTGCATGACTGCTCCCCCCATGGGGATACTTCTCCAGTCTGCATCTATGTGGTTGCGCCCATCACGTTCGGCTATTCTGCCATTTCCATTCAGCTCCTGTTCAGAGGCTCGTTTTGGCTGTTGTAATCCCCCTCCTGTTGAAATCCTGTGGCATGTCACCTTCTAACAAAGCACCGGGCTGTCCCTTGTACTTGTGATTCCTATGCAGCCCTGTTGGTACTGCTGTCACAAAGGCCAACCCCTGGATCAAGTTACAGCATCATCGCCTGGAGGAGAAGGCTGAGAGCTCTCAATCAGAACTAATTCACCAGGTTGCGGTGAATAGCAACTCAGCAGATTTCAGCAGCTCCGGTGAAATTAAGCAACATTTCAGTTGCTCTGCAGTTCCCATTTCAAGGCAAAAGCTCACGTGTGGGGAGAGCATTTATACTAAATGGTGAATCAGATCAGGCCTCTGTCCCATCCTGCTTGGGAGCAGAAAACCCCAGTTGCAAAGAATTGTTCTGGAGTGTAGGTTGTTCTATGGAGAAGAGCAGCCCCCTTCCCACCCCCACCCCCATCCTTGTGCTGTGGGCTGCTACCCCTTAGCATCATTTATACATCTGAGCAGCAGGAAGCCTCCCATTACCAAAGTGCAGTTGGTGCTTTTCCCGTGTTTTTTGATCACAGCGATTGTGTTAATTAGATTCCCCCTGTGCTGCTGGTAGTTCTGGAATAGGCAACCTCATTCTTAGGGGGGAGGGATAACTCTGGTTTGAACGTTGGCCTGCTAACCCCAGCATTGTGAGCTCAATCCTTGAGGAAGCCATTTAGCGATCTGGGGCAAAATCTGTCAGGGATGGTATTTGGTCCTGCTGTGAAGGCAGGGGACTGGACTTGATGACCTTTCAGGGTCCCATCCAGTTCTAGGAAATAGGCATCTCCATGCATTTCACTTTTACATTCTTAGAACTTGTCTCTGGTCATTCCAAAGCCCTTGTCAAACTACCTAGTTACATATGATACCTGGTCTTATAGTCTTCCCAAATCCCAGTAAGTTACATTGCACTGATTGTGGCTGTTTGTTGTGTATTATATTTAGTAGAGGTCTGACGTGCAACACACTGGCTTGTGCACATAAAACTTGCAGCTGCTGCTGTTTGAGCAGTAGACAGAGCTAGAACACGGGGGTGGGGGGAAATGTAGTTTAATCTTGATATGTGACTTCTTGAACTGAGTTTTTCCTAATATTTTAACCAATTGATTTCTAAAGCAAAAATGTCTGTCCTGCCTCACGCTGCTCTAATTCACAATTCCCTTTCATTTTCATGAATGAGAAAGGGGTGTCAACTTCGTGCGGTTATTGCTGCCCGAACCACCTGCCCCCAACCCTGTGCTCACAGGGTGCTAGGCAAAGGGCTGGCAGGCGTTGGTTGTACTTCCCCTCTCAGTAGGTGTTGTGGGGAGTCTGAGAGCATTGGTGGGTACATCTGCTTGAGTTAAAAATAGGGCTCTGAGGGATCAGTAGCCAAGGCCCAGCCTCAGGCAGGAATTCAGCAAGCTCCGGGCTGGTGGGGCTGTACTAATCTCAAGCGGGCCTGTAACCGAATTTCTGCCTTAAGATTGGATGTGCTGCCGCCCGCTGTCTAGCCCTCGCTCTGCTCCCCTTGTTCAGGGCTGCAGCGGGGAACGGGGAGATCAGGCTACCTTTTTCCTGGAGCAAGAAAGTGAAGCAAAGGCAGGGGATCTGGAAAGCTGGGTGTTGGTGTTCCCCACGGGGCTTTGCCTTCACTAGTCCTGCAGCAGGGGAGGACCTAGGGATGTACTCGCCTCCCTCCTTTCCCTGTTATTAATACAGTTTAGCCTTGCATGGAACTGTTCCCAAACCATGCCACAGCTTTGGGCTTTTTCTACACTGCCACCTGCCACGGTGCTCCAAGGACAATAGTATTTTTCAGACAGACCATCCCCGGCTCTGGACCCAGTCGGGTTTGGTTCTTACTGCCTTGGCAGGGGCTGGATTGGCTGGTTGAGGGCACAGCTGGCGGGGCTGAGCTAGGGCACGGGAGGGGCCCCTGGTGCTAGGGTGCTGCTGGCCCAAGCTCTGTGCAGACCCCTTTGGACGGAGTGTGTGTGTGGGGGGGGGGGGGGGTGATGCTACTCC